GCACCAACTCCTGTGTCACACGCATCCGATTGTATCACAAACTGTTTCTTAAAGTCTGGGAGTTGCAGTACAGGTGCCGTCGCCAACAACCCACGAACCTTTTCGAATGCTGTCTGGCATTCATAAGAACATAAGAACATAAGAAAATAAAGAGTCTGCAATAGGCCGGTTGGCCTGTGCATGGCAGCTCCTGTCGAGAGTTACTACCACTCTCTATCATCCATGAATCTATCTAGCCTCCTTTTGAAACTTTCCAGAGTTCCCGCACTTACTACAAAGTTGCTAAGCTTGTTCCACTCGTCCACCACCCTATTTGTGAACCAGTTTCTTCCTATCTCCCTCCTAAACCTAAACTTATCCAACTTGAATCCGTTGCTCCGAGTCCTATCCTGCTCGGATATTATAAGAAATTTGTCTATATCCCCTTTATTGATTCCTTTCACCCACTTAAGTACTTCTATCATATCTCCCCGCACTGTTCGTCTTTCTAGGAAATGCAATTTAAGTTTCTTTAACCTATCCTGATATGAAAGGTTTCTAAGTCCCGGAATCATTTTTGTCATTCTTCGCTGCACCGACTCTAGTGAATTTATATCCATTCTATAATAGGGGCACCAGAACTGGACCGCATAATCGAGGTGCGGCCTGACTAGCGCAAGATATAGTTGCAATAAGACCTCTGCACTCTTGTTACTTACACCTCTAGATATAAAACCCAATACTCTGTTTGCCTTATTCCGAACATTAACGCACTGTTTTCTAGGCCGTAGGTCCGGGCTTACAAGTACCCCTAGGTCTCTTTCACAAGTCGACTTCCCTAGGTTGATGTTGTTAAGGCTGTATACATTATAAGTATTTGTTCTTCCAATATTAAGTACGCTGCACTTGCTTGTGTTGAATTTCATTTGCCATTTTTCAGACCACCCCTGCAGTTAATTTAGATCCTCCTGTAATGCATTTGCATCGTGCCCTGAATTAATTTGCCGCCCTATTTTGGTGTCATCCGCAAACTTGCTTATGTTACTACTGATCCCAGTATCTAAATCGTTTATGTAGATTATGAACAAGAGTGGGCCTAGTACTGACCCCTGGGGAACCCCACTGGTTACACGGCCCCACTCAGATTTAACACCATCTACGCTGACCCTCTGCGTTCTATCAGGTGAGCCATGATTTTATCCAATTTAAAACTTTCCCCTCGATACCATGAGCCTTAATTTTTCTCAGAAGCCTCTGATGCGGTACTCTGTCAAATGCTTTGCTAAAGTCTAAGTAAATAACATCGTAATTTTCGTCATTATCTACTACCTCGAAGACTTTCCTAAAAAACGTTAGCAGATTTGTTAGACAAGATTTTCCCTTTGTCAACCCATGTTGAGAGTCGTAGATTAATTTGCTTTTCTCTAGATGAGATCGGATGCTATCTGCTATAATTGATTCAAGAAATTTCCCCACTACTGACGTCAAACTGATCGGCCGGTAATTTGACGCTGATGCTCTGTCTCCCTTTTTGAATATGGGTACTACATTTGCCTGTTTCCACAAGTCTGACACAACTCCAGTGTCTAATGATTTTGTAAATAAGCTTACGAGGGGTCCGCTAATCTGTTCCCTACACTCTTTCAAGACTCGAGGGAAAATTTCATCCGGCCCTGGGGATTTGGTTTTCTTCAGTTTATTTATCTTCTTAAGAACATCCTCTTTTCTGATAGTGATATTCTTTAATTTCTCTTCTTCCTTTCCCTTAAATATCAGTTCCACCTCTGGAATTTCATAGCAATTTTCTTCTGTGAAAACTGATAAGAAGTAGCTGTTCAATGCTTTGCTTATTTCCTCACTGCCATTTATCAATTCTCCCCTCCCTGACTTTAAAGGCCCAACTTTGTCCTTGACCTTTGTCCTATATACCTAGAAAAATCCCTTGGGATTCGCCTTGGATTCTCTTGCTATTTTGATTTCATAGTCTCTCTTTGCTTTCCTTACATTTTTCTTAACATTCCTAGATCGTTCATTATACCTGTTTCTGAGCTGCTCCTCCCCTCCCTTTAATTTCTTATATATTCCTTTCTTTATTCCTATGTCATGTTTAAGTTTTCTGGTCATCCACCTTGGCTCATTCTTATTTGACCTAATTTTTCTGTATGGTATATTTTGTTCTTGTGCTTTATGTAGTATATTAGTGAATATATTATAGTCATGATCAATTGTTGTGTCATCTATGACCTCACCCCTTCCTACTGGGAACTGACGTGACTGTTCCCAGGTGACCTCACCTAGGTACCTTCTTAACCCCTGATAATCCGCCAACCGAAAGTTTGGGACTCTGACCATATTGTCATTGTTTTTCGTTTCCCAATTTAGGGTGAACCTGATTTCTCTGTGATCACTGTTACCTAGTTCTTCCCCTACTGTGATATCTCTGATAATATTTTCTTTATTTGTTAATACTAGGTCTAATATATTGTCACCTCTATTAGGTTCTGTAATTATTTGTTTCAAAAAATTGTCCTGTACTGCGTCTAGGAAGTCTTCAGATTCATAGTCGCCTACAATGTTGTCCCAGTCAATATTTCTGAAGTTGAAATCCCCCATAATGCATAGGTTGTTATATTTTGCTGCCCTACTCATTTCCAGCCATTCACACAAACTTTCTTTTTGGGCTGACCAAATCTGTCATGGGAGTGACCACCCTGGCAAAATTTGGACAAAACCTCCTGTCGAATCCAGCCATCCCGAGAAATCTTCTGAGAGCGGGTAGATTGAGAATATCGACAACCTTGGCATCAATTGGAGCAATTTTCCTTTGTCCAATGACATGACCAAGGAAGATTAAGGTGGCTTGTCCGAATTCACTCTTGGGTAGGTTTACGGTGAAGTTGAACTCTGCTAGATGATTGAAGAGTTCACGGAGTCGGCCAATGTGTTGTACCCATGTGTCACCGATGACGACCAGATCATCTAGATAGGCGTACACTCCAGGCAGGCCTGACGTCACTATATGCATCGCTCGCTGAAATGTTGCTGGTGCTCCTTTGAGGCCGAAGGGCATAACTTTGTATTGCCACAGCCCCTCCGCAGTAACAAAAGCTGAAATCTGCTTTGCTTCTTCCGAGAGTTTGATTTGGTAGTAGCCTTTGAGAAGATCCAGCTTGGTGACAAATGTTGCTTGACCCATACTGTCGATGATGTCGTCGATGCGCGGCAATGGATATGCATCAGCACGTGTCACCAGGTTGACCTTCCTGTAGTCAGTACACATGCGGACACTTCCGTCGGGTTTAGGCACCAGCACACAGGGTGACGCCCATGCACTATTGCTCCTCTCCACTAAGTCATGTTCCAGCAGATACTCCACCTCCTGCTTCAGCTTCTCCCGCTTATCAGGGTTCATTCCGTAGGGTGCTTGCTAGATGGGAGATGTGCCAGGCAAGAGTTCCAAGTCGTGCTCCAGCAGAGAACACTGGCGTGGCACATCGTCGAAGAGTGGCTTGAACTCCTGCAGCAGTTGTAGCACATCCTGAGATTGCTGTTGTGAAAGATGGGATACTTTAGAGGTAGGGTCACACAATATACTAGAATTACAGATTTATATGGGGATATCCACTTAGAAATCAGTGTCTGGGACCACCTCCTCTCCTCCTGTTACTGAACAAACCACTTCACGCCTACCAAAATACGGTTTTAACCTGTTGATATGAGTCAAACTCTCCAATTTTCTCTTATCTGGAGTCGCTATGACATAGTTGAGGTCATTTAATTTCTTAACTATAGTGAATGGACCCTCATATTTAGCTTGAAGGGGGTTTCTATAAGTGTTAAAACCCTATCTCCAGGCTTAAATTCTCTAACGTGACAACGCTTATCATATTGTTTTTTTATTTTCTCCTGTACTTCTGACAGCTTTTCACGAGCAATCTCACCTACTCTCTTCAGTTTCTCTTTAAACTTCTCTACATACACTGACAAAGGGACTTTTATTTGATTACTTATCCAACTTTCCTTCAACACAGTCATAGGACCTCTTACAGTATGACCAAAAATCATTTCAAAGGGACTGAATCCTCTTGGGGACTCTCTCTTATGACAAACAGCATAAGTGGTACTCCTTCATCCCACTCCTTATCAGACTCCATACAGTATTTCATAAGCATTGATTTAAAAGTCTGGAGGAACCTCTCTAGGGCACCTTGGGTTTAAGGGTGGTACGCAGAAGCTAAGTATTGTTTAATACCCAATTCATTCATCACCTGCTGGAAAAGAAAAGAAGTGAAGTTAGTACCCTGATCCGACTGTATAATTCTAGGAATGCCATATATAGTGAAGAAGTTAGTCAGAGCCTTTACCACACTCTTTGCTTTGATGTTTCGCAATGGTATAGCCTCTGGGTACCTGGTGGTAGCACACATGATTGTTCATAAATATTGGTGGCCACATCGAGTTTTTGGGAGAGGACCTACACAATCAATTATAACCCTGCTAAATGGCTCATCTACCACAGGAATGGGTTTTAGGGGAGCAGGTTTTATGACCTGATTCGGTTTACCAGCCATCTGACATTCATGGCAAGTTCTACAGTATTTGGCAACATCACCTTTCATTCCAGGCCAGTAAAAATGCGACAAAATCTTTTTATATGTTTTCCTAACTCCTAAATGTCCTCCCAAAAAGTCGTGTGCTAATTTCAAGACTTCTCCCCTGTGACATCTGGGAATCACAACCTGATGCACAACATTCCACTCATCAGAAGGATCAGATACAGATCTGAACTTCCTCATAAGTAACCCTGAATCCATGCAGTAACAAACAGGCAAGCGAGCCGCTTCTTCAATATCCACAGCCTTCCTACATAGTTCAGCTAATTCGGAGTCACTCTGCTGATCATCTATCAGTTCTTCCCTAGTGACAGGTACTTTCTGAATTGTAATGTTGTCACCAGAAGAGAGATCAGCTTCAGATTTTGGGGAATGAATGTTAACTGAATCTTTAGCTTCACTCACATCTCATCCACCAATGTCACTATCAAATGAATCATCCTGACTGTCAAACAGATTCACAATACCCAAATCATTTTCATCATTGCCAGGTGCACTACTATCAGCAATACAAAGCTTAGGGCATCTTACCTTATTCTGAAGAGTCTGGTTCCTTGTAACTGCACATAAAGGAAATAAATCGGGGTATTCTTCTTCAATTAAACCAGTATTATTCTCCTCTGTAGGAGTCGAAGATACCACAGGATCTGGCACCACGCTGGCTCCTGCAGTATCATTACCCAGCAAAAAAGTAACCCCTGTCACAGGAAGAGAATCTTGAACACCAATAGTCACCCAACCAGTCATAAGTGGAGTTCTCAAAAACACCCTACACAAAGGAACAGTGATCACTCCACCGACACCCTTAAGCACCAAATGCTCTCCAGTATAGGAATCTTCCACGCAGGGAACAGATCCTTTCAACAGAATACAGTGAGAAGCACCAGCGTCACGCAAAATCTTTGCAGGGTACTGATCACCTGATTCTTCAACTGCAACTGAACCATCAAACCTGAAGGGCTCAAAAGAATCCTCCTTTGGGCGATTTCTCACTAAAGTTTTGTCAAACTTCTCCAGAGGATCGAATGAGAGCACTGGCTCTTCCTTCTTTGCTTCCAATTTAGGGCAATTCGCAATCACATGACCTGGTTTCTTACAGTAAAAGCAGACAAATGATTTACTCTTGGCATAGGTCTTGGAAAGCTCATCTGAGTTTCCGCGAAAACTTACTTTACTAGAAGAAGCAGTACTACTATCCTGCCTACCACCCTTTTCCTTGTTTACAAAACCCTTTCCACCTGAATGATTTTGAGATTTAACAGGATGCATTTTGTGAGTAAGGGCATAGCTATCAGCTAATGCAGCAGCTTTATGAACATTACTAATATCTCTCTCTCCTAAGTACAATTGTATATCTCTTGGAGTGGCTCTTTTGAACTGTTCTAAAATCATCAACTCAACAGGTTCCTCAAAAGTTTCTACCTTGCGAGACTTTATCCACCTTCCACACATTTTACTCAATGAATAACCAAATTCTATATACGACTGTGCATCAGTCTTTCTCATAGTCCTAAATTTCACTCGATATGTTTCAGGAATGAGTTCATATGCCTTAAGAATTTCTTCTTTCACTAACTTATAACTACGACAAACTTCACTTGACAAAGACAAAAATGCTGAACCAGCTGACCCAGTGAGCACACTTTGAATAATAGCAATCCACGACTCTTCAGGCCACTGAAATGACTTTGCAATTTTCTCAAACTGCATGAAAAACGCTTCTGGGTCCTCCTCGTCAAAAGCAGGCACAAGTCTCAAATGTTTTGTCACATCAAACAATTTTGTCTCAGATTCTAAAGACAATGCCTGTAAGTCTTGTCTTCTACTGCTAACCTGTGCTAACGCTAATTCATGCTGCCTTTCACGCTCTCTTTCCCTTTCTTCTCTTTCCTTCAAAGTCAACTCATGCTCCATTTCTAACTTTCTGATCTCTACAGCTTCCCTGAGGTCAAATGAACGCAAAGTCAGTGCCCCCTTCGGTAGCACCTCTTCATTTACACGTTCAGTTAGTACTGCACTTTGAATTTCAGACGTTCTTTGACTACGTCGATACTCAATTTCATATGTATCAGCAAGTTTCATCCAATCATCCTTTCGTAGAACACAGTCTTTCAACATTTTCACGGATGGATTCTCAACAAACTCCTCAAGATCAAAAGTATCCATGATTAATCAATAAAGAATCACTATATCTAAATATTCCCAATAGATAATGATTGATAAAGGGATCTGTCCTCTCACGGTCGCCAATTTTTGTTACGACCCTAGGCCTTCTTAGGGTGTATCAAAATTACAAATTCAACTTCTCTTTATATTATAGGTCCAAGGAATAGATCCCACCAAAATCATCACCTCATTACTATGTGGTATATTGAAATACATGCAGTAGTTTTAATTACAGAATATATTAACAAATAAACAATAAATTAAATATATTACTATGTACAAAAATAAAAAAAATACAGGTTAAATCTGATCAAATAAATGACTCAACCGAGTGACAAAATAATGAACACAAAAGTAAAGACTTATTTAGTCTAGAAACTACGATGAACAACGTGGTCTATCCACCACACGAAACCTCATAAATAAGTAAATTATTTTCCGTGGAACTCTAAAATATGATTAACAATAATCTTTCACAAATAATACTTTACTTGGTGTTATGAAAGTCGAGCAAGGTTTACACGTTATATTACTAGAAAAATAATGTACAATAAGAAAGGAGATACTCTGTACTAAACACTGCCGGGCCCATACTAAAGTAAACAAAGCAAGCGGACGCGGGCAGAAATGACGTCACAAACAAAGAAGTTCACGTTGCGAATCCACAACCAACGATGAACGCTCACTCGTAATAGTGTAAGATTACATTATCTGCTATTTCGTTTATGTAAAAATAATTATTGTATTGTTATAACATTTATAACTTTTAATAAGCCCCAGAAGTGGATGACAAAGGTGAGGGTGGGAGTAGTATACTACCCTGTCCTTTTGATGTAATAGTTTTATTGTCAATAAAGTATTAAAATTTAAATTTAAATTTTACAGGATATCCATGTTACGGTCTCGTTACTCTTCATGGAGACGATAAACTTAACACGTTTATCTATCATTGTTCTACACAACTGTAAAGGTCTGGGACTTAGGGACAGAAATCCCTTACCAGACTAATCAGGATCTTAATAAAGGAAAGTCAAGGACCATGGTTTTCTGAGGAATAACAAACAACCGTTTGAGATTGACATCTCTTTACTATAAAAACTATAACACAAAACTCTGACACCACTCAATAAACATAATGTAACAATTACGGGAGTCAAACAATTAATGCAGTAAACAGTTAATGGAGTCAAACAATTAAGGGAAGCAAACAATTAAAGGAAGCAAACAATTAAAGGGAAGCAAACAATTAATGGGAGTCAGCAATTAATAAAATCAAACAATTAATGGGATCAAACAGTTTATGAGAGTCAACAACTGAGAGAATCAAACAATAAAAGTCAGCAATTAAAGAAATCAAACAATAGAATCAAGCAATGCACAGATATTTCCTACGACAGTGGCCCTGGGGAAGGTTCCGGAACACGGTGATTTACACTCGAGGGAAGCGTCCATTCAACTCCACACTTGAGCGACAGCGGCCGATGTCTTGATATGGCAGGAGAACAATGGGGCACAGACGGAGGAGATGAACTGACGGTCGTGGTATGGGGTAGTGGTAGATGTCCAGAGAATTCACAGTCGATAGGTGAAGGTCTGGGGACACAGCCCATGAGTCCCGAGCCTTGATGAGATCACAGCCAGAATTTGAAGAATAGCAGGGGAAGGTAGTGACTGCACTCACTGATGAGTAGGATCTGACGACGACACAGGTAGAAGCGCCGTTCTCATCTCTGTCCAAACCCCCCAAGTGTTGGTCGCACCAGCAAACGAGAAAGTTAGCAGCGGTAACGAGCAGGGAGATCGTTACCGCCCTTACAACAACCATGGCCTCAGCAACTATGGAACTGGGGGCAGCTTGGCGTGTCCAAGTCAACTGTAACTAAGTTGATTCGGCTCTACGAGGAGACAGGCGCGACGAACAACAGGCCTCGGAGCGGGCGCTAATGATGCACATTTCGGGAAGATGGCCAGGTTTGTTATATGTATTAATATTGATAAGGTCAGAAAATAAATGAAATACGACATTAACATGTTTTCCGCCAACTCTGGATCAGGCAATACTGGCGACCATTGACGCCGGTCCATTTGTCACACCTGGCAGCATTCGAGATGACCTTGGGTTACTTGGGTCGTAACCCAAGTAACCCAAGGTAAAACTATCCAAAGCAAACTTCACTCCATGGATCAGCGTAGTTACACGCCAGCAAAGAAGCCGCACCTCTCGAGTTGAACAGGGAGAAAAGAATGGAATATGCTCTAGAATACTACAACAAAGACGATAGTTTCTAGGTGGATGCACGTAGGAGGTGTGGGGGAGCTGGCCGAAGTTGGGTCGGACAGAATCACCGGCCTCAAGTACATTAACATATTAGAGAGCATTCTACTGTCGCCAGTGAGGGCGTTGTTGTTTCCCGAGCCTGAGCCTTTTTATCTTATTCAAGACAACAGCCCCATCTACACCTGTCACGTCGTCAAAGAGTGTTTTGTCCATCACCCGGAAATAACCCGACTGCCACACCCACCACAGTCTCCGGACCTTAACCCCATCGAGAACGTATGGTCTGCCATGACACAATGGATGCTGATGACCCACCATAGGAGGCGCGAAAGGGTCGTCATAAGTGCACTTCAGGTGTGGGATGAGTTGGGAGGTACCGCCGGACGAGTCCTCACTACTGAGCTATTGGACTCCATGCCAAGGAGATTTAACAGCCTAATAAAGGTTGGGGGTCCCTTTATCAATTATTAATGTAGCATATGCATTAAAAGTGGTTTATTAAATGCTTTACTTTCCATGATACAAATATTGTGAACATACAAACTTATAATGAGATAAATAACTGATAACTCATCACTGCCATATTATTTTAGCAGGGCTACCAATGTGAAACACTCCTTTTCATAATATTTCGTCCAGTTTGTCACATTGTGTCATTGTTTAACGCTATGAGGGTCCACGGGTGTACAGTACCTACGTTTTCAGCTTGGTGAAGTGAACTTAGTTGAGAGCCATGCTGCCTCCTTTTGTACCGAAGACTTACTATAAAGTGTGCTGTATGCATACTGTCCATAACGGGCAGTCATGACTATGTTTCCTAAATTCACCTTTTTTTCTTTCTTGGTAATACACCCCGAGAATTATGAATTGTATTTCGGAAACACCCAAGATACACACACACACACCTGCACACACACACACACACACTCACACACACACACACACACACACACTTGACCACGGAAGGGTCAAGACGTACCTGGCGCTCCTCTTGGAGCAGCCAGGTCAACTGTTATGTTGGCCCATACCAACCCCCTCCCCTGAACCCTCCTCCCCACCGGAATATCAACAAGTTCACGCCAGAAGTTACTATTTCATTTAGGAAAGAAATGGAACCAGTGTTAAACAGAGGTGAACAGTGGTGAACAGTGCTTAAGTCAGTGAGAACAACTCAACAGTAACAGTGGTACCCAATTTGACCTTTCACACAGTGAGGTCCCAGGTACCCAGTGATAACGGCCAGTGAGACCCAACTACCAGCGATGTGTTAATCCGTCTAGGATAGGAAGGCCTGGAACCACACCTCACTCATATAACACCATCTGTGAAGGAGTTACTACACCACGTGAGGCCCCTCATAACACCATCTGTGAGGGAATTACTACACCACGTGAGGCCCTTCATAACACCATCTGTGAGGGAATTACTACACCACGTGAGGCCCCTCATAACACCATCTGTGAGGCCCCTCATAACACCATCTGTGAGGGAATTACTACACCACGTGAGGCCCCTCATAACACCATCTGTGAGGGAATTACTACACCACGTGAGGCCCCTCATAACACCATCTGTGAGGGAACTACTACACCACGTGAGGTCCCTCCTAACACCATCTGGGAGGGAGTTACTACACTACGTTTTTGCTGTTCAACACCTACATTAATCTGTATGTTCACTGTATGTTCCTTTACCTTTCTCTAATGAAGGCTTTTGTTAAACCACCAATGTATGTAATAAGTCATTTATGTCCAATGTATATTTTCAGCCTTCGGGCTGCAGAACTTTTTCAATAAACCGTCAATTATTATTATTATTATTATTATTATTATTATTATTACACACACACACACACACACACACACACACACACACACACACACAAACACTACTTTGCTGTAAATCGGAATCGAGTATGACGATCATCCAGCTATGTTAAAATGATATGGGTTATTAGGGATGTCACCTAGGTTAGTGAGTTTTCAGGCGACTAAAGAGCCCGATACAGGACTGGCAACATAGTCCACATTCGTTGCACATGTGGAGGGCTCCATCTGCTGTGGGAGGGGCAGTGGCAGCGTCTTTCCTACGCTGGCGCTTATCTGCCTCGGTATGAAGTCGGGCTAACTCAAAAGTATTGACACCTTCCCGTGTGGTGCTCCTCCAAGCGTTACGATGAGGGTGAGGGGGTCGATTTGGCACCTTTTCAGGTTTGTCTCAAGACTATCCTTATACCTTTTCAATTGCCCGCCAGCGTTACGTTTACTATTCGTTAGGTGATTGTAAAATAGTTGCTTTGGCAGTCTACTGTCATCCATGCGGGTAACATGGCCAGTCCAACGTAGTTGTTCATGGATAATGGTAGCCTCGATGCTCCTACAGTTGGTGTCAGCAAGAATGCTGGCATTTGTTCTCTTGTCTTCCCAGCGAATTCGGAGGATGGAACGTAGATTACGTTAGTGAAAGTTTTCAAGTGCCTTGAGGTGCCAACTGTATGTGACCCATGTCTCACTGCCATATTGTAGGGTGGGCAGGATCACTGCTTGATATAAGTGCAACTTTGTGGATAATTTCAGCAACCTACAGCTGAAGACACGATTTCGGAGTCCGCCCAAGGCATGAGATGCGCTACTGATCCGATGCTCAATATCTTTATCGATGTCTGCGGTGGTGGACAGGTGGGAGCCGAGATATCGAAATTGGGCAACATTAGAGAGTGTAG